GTGTGTGTGAGTAGGTGGGTGGGTGGGTGTGATTGTGTGTGAGTAGGTGGGTGGGTGGGTGTGTTTAGGGGTGAGGGGTGGATAAGCAAGGATACGTGTATGTAGCTGCCGATAATGGATGTTATTACAACAAAGCTTAGTGTGCTCACAGAGTGCAGTCTGACAAAGTGGTCCCTTGGGGTTTTTTTCCCTGTCTGCTCCTAACTCCGTGTTCTTGATATTCGTGGGCGTCATAATAATTACCACTCTAATTGATATATCAATAAAGAGGATATACTTGTATTATAACAACGAAGACTGTGCACTCTGGCACAGTTCCCGATTCACTTTGGAGCGCACCATTTGAGCCAAATGAAGAAGGGGGGGGGGGGGAATGGGGGAAATGTGCCTTGTGCACTCGACAGTTGTGAGACTGGTGAGTTGCCCTTTATGTGGGCCGAACAGTGCGGCTCACGGTGAGCTCCCTTCAGAGCGAATTCTGTTTGGAGAGCGAAGAGCGACAACCATGACATGCCCATGAATACAAGTCAATGATAAAAAGAGAGCTCACCTCACATTCCACTCCAGCGCATTACTACAATGCTTGTCCATTGTTATTTTGTGTAGAGAACAATAAATAGCATATTATTCGTTTGCAAAGCTTGTCCACAAAATAATACGTGCCCAACTTTCAGCAGCAATATCCCTGGACAGAACGATTTGGTAGAATTTGCTGAAGGTTTGCAAAGCATTCATTCATTACACTTATCTACAGATTTCTTGTATAAATGTGCTAGGTTTTCAATACGACTTCTTCATTTCAATATAAAATTGATGAACCGGCGTCTATGATATAGTGGTTAGGCGGTTCGCTGTCGGACGCAAGAGGCCCGAGTTTGGTTCCCTAGAAGGAAGAAATCGTTTATCGAATACCTCTGTCCTTCTGCTGAAATGTATCCCTCTCAACCCGGGTTGACCCTGACAGGCATGGTCAGAAGTCCACCTCCTAAATAATCTAAATTCTGCTGATGGGGGCGTAAAAACAGTTACATTAAAAAAACAAAGACAGGAGCGGTCGTCGTTACTCACCCCGCCATTGAGGGCAACATCTGCAGATCTGGGTATTTCTTGTAGTCGTCCTCCTCCATCTTGGAATCAGAGGCACCAAAAGCAACCAGGGGTTGTTGTACACCTTTGATCCTGGCGATTCCCCCGCCACTTCCTGGAGGGAAAGAAATTATGTTTTTAGTTTTTGGTTTTAATAAGATTTTGACGATGCCAACAATGACAATGGAAAAGACAATCTTTATTCATCTCACTGGGAGGATTTTAACTTTGTCGTTTGCACTGGCAGTGGAATGTTACAAAGGTTAGGGACACTCTCGCATACACACAACAAGACCGGACATTAGTAAATACATGTATAGGGCACGTTTAACAGCTCTTGCAACAAAATAAGGTCATATAACTGCTGAAGGTTCGAAGTTTTACTTAAAGGAATAAAAGAGAAAAGAACGATACATGTTTGATACAAAACAAAGAAGGAGCAAGCCACACCAGTATGCCCGCCAACCACCCATTAAAGAAATGATGATGATGATGATGATGATGATGATGACGATGATGATGATGATGATGATGATGATGATGATGATGATGATGATGATGATGA